ATCATATGAAAATCAAGTACAATCCCTCCCGTTAGGGGTTTAGTATCATACCATCATAAAATATATGAGAAGAACATAACCCGTATCATGCCAATGACTGGTTTTAGAATATATGTTTTTTATTTCCGATGCAATGAATCAATATCAATACCAAAATATGCAATCCTTAATGACTTGACAACGGTATCGTAACTATATCCTTTCCGAATAAAATCTGTTTAAAGGTTTGGTTAGCTTTTGAGGTGAATGCCGACATTGCTGTGCTTTGTAAAGAATACTACCATAAAATAATGGATGTGAAATACCTGAACGTATAAGATGTCTGCATGTTGATTTATATTTACGAATGATGTCCTTGTACCGATGATAAAATTTAGTAAATGTTTTGACTAGTTTGTGATATCGAAAACCCTGGTGTAATAATTTTTCAGTAACACAGAGATTTCTTCAGTTGAAATCAAATACGTTGTTACATACACGAGCGAATCGAAATAGTTGAGATATATAAACACCATAAGATGGTGACAAAGTAACGTCACCATCTAAAAATGGATAATTAACAATAGGAAATGAAATATCATCTCTTTTATCATAAATTTTGGTATTAAGCTTCCCGTTAAAGATATAGATATCAAGATCCAGGAAAGGGCAGTGTTCATTGTTAGTATTAGCTTTATTTAAAGTCAGTTCGGCAGGATAAATCTCTTTAGTGTACATACTGAAGTCGTCATTATTGAGAGCCAATACATCATCTAAATATCTAAAAGTGTTATTAAATTTTTGAATCGGATGTTGTTTCGATGGGTTTTTGCTGATTTGAGTCATATATTGTAACTCACAACAATACAGAAACAGGTCCGCAATAAGTGGTGCACAGTTAGTCCCCATGGAAATTCCGATAACCTGACGATATACGGAATCTCCATAGCGAACAAAAATGTTATCTAGTAAAAATTCAAGGGCAGTTATAGTATCAAATCAGGTCCAATTGACATAGTTCTTTTGTTTGTTGTTACTAAAAAATGACCTAAAAGAGTTTGAACATATATATTCGCATTCCGACTTTTTAAATGCCCATTTAATCAGGTGTGTGAATTTTTTCTTAATAAGATTATGAGGCAAAGTGGTATATAGGGTAGAAAAATCAAAACTTTGAACAGGTTCGAAATCACCAATATAAGCATGCAATTTATCAAGTACTTCCAACGAATATTTGACACTCCAAAAGTAATTAATTCCACTATTTTCAAAGGCCTTATTTTAACAATTTATCACCAGGTTTTTGATTGTACCAAGTGTACTAGTAAGTATAATAGATAGTTTAGTAGTGGAACAATGGCTTGAAGACGAAATAAATCTATATTTGTAAGGAGTTTGCAGTCGGGTTGTTGTTTCTTTGACATATTCCCCATTTCCATTCTCAATTTTAGCTTCGGAAGCCAGTACATAGTTGGAACTTTCATTGTATTTGGTTCTGCTTGTAAAGAGGTAGCTAAAAGTTTATGTTTGTTACAGATGTCATTTTCCGAAAATGGAGTCAGTTGGAATGTTGGTGAATTCGTGATTTTTTTTTGTAGAACTTCAATGTAAAATTTACGTCAAACAATAATGATATTGTTAGCAGCCTTATCAGCCGGGACAAAAACATATTCCTTGGCGAGTTCTTTTAGCTTATGTTTGATACGGGAAATTTGGCTATTATGGTTGTTGTTAGGAGTAAAATGATCTTTAAAATGTTGATTACGTATATCAACTATGTTCATCACCGAATTAAAAAAAGAATCTAATGATTTCTTGTCAGCTTTTCTCGTTTTATCCATTTAGAGCAGTAAGTACGGAGTGAGTCGTGGATGATGTTACGACACTCATTCCAATTAATAATTGACTGGGGGACGATATATATTTTATACTTCTGTTGGAATTCATTATTCAATTCTACAGGTCAGGTACATTCTATTTTCTAACAAGAACTAATATATTGATGTTTTAACATATTGAATAAAAGATGAATGAATGAGTTGAATGAGTATAACGCAGAGGAAGTGATTAAAATTAACAACACACATATCAAAATATAAAACTTTATTTGTAAAACATATTTGGTAAACGTCAAATAGTATAAATCATTTAAACAGTAAATAAACATAATAATTTCACATTTATATATAGAAGTACATTAGTATAGAGGTCTGAAACTGACAGACATGTTATTGAGTACAATGTGTTTTGATTTATGTAAGAGAATATGACAAATCAGTGGACATATGAATGCAATATTTATTTATTCAGGTTATGATATAAAATTCCAGTAGACAGTATACTCGTCTGGTACTTTTCATTGTGTTATGGTTCCAGTCATGACTTCTATGTCACATTTATGGTAAGGAACGTGTTAAATAATCTAGTTGATGATTGTCTTCTCTATTTTGTAACTTTATAGTGTTTATATGTAACTTTGCTAGAAACCAGAGCCTTTTGAACACGCTACTATTATTTCAACACTAGAATATGATAACATCTAGATAGTTTAAAATTAGGGATATAAATAACAGTATACAAATAAATATTTACAAACATACGCAAAAAGTAAATAAAAATAAAAAATAAAGATATATGTTCTGCAGTCGTTAAACGCTTCTTTTTTGAATAAAAAATAAAATAAAAGTGAAATGATCAGAATTGAATGCTTCGTTTTGCAATTTTATAGGGTTCTTGCGCACATCGTAAGTATGAAAACAAAAACACTAAACTCACTTGAACACTTTAACACCAATAATATTAGAAAAAGAAGAAACCACGCATTTCATAAATAAATACATGTACAATCATTACATTCTAGCATACACACGCTAATAATTGAAAGAAAAAAAAAGAAAAAAAAAGAAGTACACAATAAGAGCATTATAAGAACGATGATCTGAATCCTACAATTCCAAAAATAATAAAATTCCTTAATTCTTGCAAAATTATTCCATTTCTATCAATGAATGGACGTACGATAAAAAAAACTTATTTTACACATTATATTTGCTATATTTAAATACGAACCAAGTCTTTAATTTGTTTTCGGAATATTGGGTGTAATATCTATGACTCGCCATTGAATTTTGCCTAAAGTAACCAATGTTTGTATGCATTTATTTAGCTAGTGCTCGTAATCTTAATTTGTATGTAACGTTAGATACGTCATCTACACAGGTAAAATAGCTACGGACGTATCACGGATGTGGTAATATACGTCCGTAAAACATCCGTAATACAGATGTATTACGGATGATACGGTTACGTCCGTAAAACGTCTGTAAAAATACATCCGTAAAACGTACGTGTAAAAACTGGTGTAAAACGGATTGTCCGTTTCACGGACGTTTCTGAAACATCCGTATTACGGCTGTATCATATTCAAAGATGTATTTTAAGAAAAAATGTATTCCATTATAACAAATCTATACGTCAACAGCATGCATAGTTAATTATGATTAGTTTTACAATAAATGAAAAGGTTTTGATTACTTTTATCATGCTTGAGATATATCTTGACACAAAAATGAGATGACTATGGTAAATAATGCTGAAACAGGTACACCAAGTGTAATATCAGGGCATAAAACACTCACTGGTAATTTTCCATGTGATTTAGAATTAAAACACATATATAGATCCATTCAAGTTGTTCACAGATTGTTTTTCTATTGAAAAAACATAACACATGGTGGTATTAAACTTTTATACTGTTAAATTTTTGAAGCAATATTGATACATGGTAAACATCAGATAAATAAAATAATTATAAATTGTCTACAGATATAAGATTTATTTTTATATTTCGAATTTGTGTTAGTCAAAAAATGATATTATTGACAGCAATTATGTAATATTTGTGTTATACTTCAATACTTTTGCAACTGTTACCATGGTTACAGTTTCTAGATTTATGAAATTTTCTGGCGATTCATGAAAACTATTTGCTTTATTATAATAAACATAAAATTTGATATATGTTTATAATCAAACACACATTCAATATCTGAGTACAGGTAATCTATTAATATTCATATTTGTTGAGAAATATTTGGATAAAAAGATTAAAAAATTATAATTTAAGCAGGATCAGCAATTTAATATCAAGACAAAACAATGTTACATCTAACCTGTATAATGTGACTGTGAATAAATATTTGAAATACATGTTTTTAGATCCTGTTCCAATAAATAGCTTTTCCACAGTAAATTATTTCTAAAAGCCAATTGATGAAAATATTTAAATTTTGAATAATAATGAGGATCATGTCTTACAGGAGCCAAACAAGGGTCAAACTACAAAATATATGTCAGTAAGGTATATATCTTTGCAAATTAATTAATCATATCAACAAAAGCAAATTATGTAAACTTGTGCATACATTTGATTATCATGGGTTATACATTCTTGTAACTTTTGACACAAGAAAGTAATTCAGGATGTGACATTCACAAATTAACAGCTATGGTCAAATCCAAGTACAGTTTGTTAATTCGTATGTACCAAATTTTAAAATTTTACTCCAAACTTTTCACTGTTACTGAGTATGAATATGGAAAAGCAATTTATGCTTTTTAAAAAAATTATTAAAATAATACCATAACATTTTTTTCACAAAATTTGCATTTAAATAACAAATTTAAATAATTTCATAACCATTTTTTTAATAATTTTTCTCACCTACAATTCATTTTGTAAACCTTTTTAAACACCACCTACATAACAAGGTTCATTGCAGTCATAGCACCAGAAGATATTTCTAAACTTTTAAAGACAATTGTTCCAACCACCACTGCCCCCTCAAAACTTTTCATACAAATCATGTTATGAAATTTGGAATACAAGGAATATCTTAACTAATACATAAATTTCTGTTAAAAATTTAAGGACAATAAGATAAAAAATTAAGCACATTAAGATGTGTATCCAAATTTGTAATTTTTTAACCGATATGTTAGGTTTTTATCTAAAATTTGGTCATTTTATACAATTCTCTTAATGTGTGCATTTTAAAACAGGGTCCAAACCTGTTCAATTTAAACTAATTATATGTCACATATCTGGAAAATACTCATATTAAGTTAAGAAACTTGAATACAAATTATGTTTAATGCAACTGATTTTGTCAAATTTCACCAAACTCTTATTTTTTTGCGTATTTATAATTCAAAGTGTAAATTTACACCTTTTATAAGAAAAGCTCCATAAAAATATTAATTTATAACTTCTCTTCTTCCAAATTCATTATCTTGATGCAATTTTTGTCTTGAAACAATGATATTAATATTTGATATTAAACATGGTGTTAAACATGTTAAATTGGGGCCTTATGAAACATACTTCTTTTCAACAAGTCAAACATAACCTACTGTACATTTACATTATTGACTAAATGAAACTATATTTATTTAGAACATACACAGTATGATTTTTCTTGTGTTTCAAATGATTTGTTTTTCTTGTAATGTTTTCTTGTTCAATTCTTTCTTCATGCAATGCCTTTGAAATGTTGCATGATCCTCCTTTGCAATCATGAAAAAAATTAACCCTTTTCTGTACATTTATAGAACTTAAAATATCAAAACCATTTTGCACATTGTACATGTCACAGTTACAATCCTTGGTGTTGACCTTCTCAGCTTTCTGCAATTTGACTATTAGTCTTGTGCTTCCTCTTTTTGGTGTTAAAATATACCCCTCTTGGAATATACCATAGCATTCCTGCAACAAAAATACAAAATTATCATAGTTGTCTTTGTTATTTCGTTGTTTGTTTGCTGTCTTATTGAAATATTTAACTAACAAGTTCTTTTATTGGTATAGTTCCTCTCTTTTGTTCTATTGGACAATTCAGTGTTCTTACATATCTTATGTTAATTATACTCACTAAACTTGTTAAAATTTGTGGGCAATTAATATACAAAATATGTACTATTAAAAAATTGTAGGATAATATATAATTTATTTGTATAACCTAAATAAAGTAAGAAAAAAGTGAGGAGCCAGGGATATATTAAATACCATTTCCTTTTCATAAGTAGTTCGTCTTCAATTTATATTGGGTTTGCATGTTAATTAAACACGAAGTTACATAATATTATTCCTATTTGATTCAATTATCTTCAAAATATGTCAAGCTGAAATTTGACTCCCCATAGTATCTTGCATACTCAGAATGTTTATCTTAAGTGTAACTTATATGAAGCCTATAGTCCAGTCAATCTAGCATAAATTTGACCCTAACCTTGAAGTAATTGCAACTGAAGATTTTTAAGTTTTAATCTTTAGCATTATACCCCAAATATACAAAGAAAAAAGTCCAACAAAATCTAACTTTAGGAAAACTAAGAATCACAAGTTTAAAATTCCTATGGAGATTTGTATTGAAATGGGAGATAACTCTGCAAAAAAAAGCAGAAATATCAATAAAATTGATACAAAATTATAACTTTACCGCTTTTATTCTTTAGAGTATAACAAACAACTCTAAAGGTGTTTTCATATCTTTTATCCAGCTGCAACCTAGATTTAATAATTCGTTAGTTGACCATTTATTAGATTTTTCAACATGTCAAGGTAAAGAATCTCAAATTTGATAAAAATAACTAAGCATCTATTCTTCTTTTTATGGTTTAAAGTATCTTGAAACAAGGTAGATGCTGAACAAATATAATTTACAGATATAAACAATACCAAATATTCACATTATTTTTTTCAAAATGGTCACAAAACCATAAATTTGCAATTCCTTTAATGAAAAATGTGCAAAAAAAAATAAAAATATGCATAACACTTTGGTATTGTCACATTTCATGAGCTGAAGATCTTATAATGTAGTCAAACAAGAACTTATAACCCCATCAAAGTATCATACTTTACATGAATTTTAAGAAAATCAACCAAAAACTGGTTTAAAAAAAAGACTCATTTTTGCGGAGTTATCTCCCTTTCCAATGTTAATTTCCATAGGAAATTAAAAATGCAGATTTTGAGTTTTCATCAAGTAAGATTTTATTGGACTTTTTTATGTGTATAATTAGGGCTTAATGCTATAGATTAGAACTAACACATTTTCTGTTGCAATTAGTTTGAGGTTCAAACTTGGTTTGAATGGACTACTGGTACATAATCATACAACAGTCAACATGTTGGTACACAGTCAGGAATTTCTTTAAGGTTGTTATTTATATAGGCTTAGATATATATATTTTATATAAATATAAGAGATGTGGTATGATTACTTGAAAAGAAAAAAAAATAAACAACTCAGAAAAATAAATTGTTAGTTTTTTACAATTCATTAACAGAAGATGTTTAAATGAATCTTTATTAATGATCATACAAATATTATGTTTGCACCTACATTTTCATTCTCATTTATGTATTGCACCCAATTTCCACTTTGAGCAAGCTCATTTTCTTGGGTGGTCACACCACTTCCTCTCTTCAGGGTATACTGGCTGATGTTAGCATCAATATTTAGTGAAAGAGTGGCACTCAATATTACATCCTCATTTTGGGATTCCTCCAAAACATGTCCATGTTTTCCTCTTTTTAATAATGAAATTTTTCCTGCGACCTGTTGAGTCTGGTGACCCAACCCAAAATACTTTCTTACTTCTGGGGAGGATAATCCAAAGTTGATCACATTTGGTGATGCAGTTTTCCTATGAATGAAAATCCACAAAATGACATGCTGAATAGTAAAAATCTTCAATTACAGTTTTAAGTCGATTTATTATATACAATTATTAATGAGTTATTATAGGATTAAACGCCTTCACTCAAAAATTAATAATATGTTTGTGAGTGACTTGGTCCTGAGTTTATACACCAATAAATTCCTTTAAAAAGGCATTTAATCCTTATAATTCTTTTAAATTGGAGATAAGGAATTTATTTTTCCACACTCATAACCTCTATCACAAGTAAATTGTGTATTTGTGTCATTGAATTAGCCTGGCGCATGAATATATTTGTTGGTTAACGCAAAATATGTACTTCATGAAATTTGCTATCTGGTAAAAAAATAAACTACAAAAACTCTTATTGTCATTAAATGAATGTTTTGTGTTTATTATTTAATTTAAACGATTGACGCGCAGTGAAAATAAATATTTTTAATGTCGGCAGCTGGATTGTGTTATAATAGCCGCCATCTTGTTTACATTGGTTACAAAAAGAAATTCTCAGTTGAATAGAAAGAGAATTATATGATGTAATAAGCCCAAGTCAATAACCTTGCCTAAGAAAACAACGATAAAAATATTACCCATGGTGTTTCAAATTCAAGACTGTTTCTTCCAGTTGCCTGTCTGTGCCAAACTGTTTCATGGTTTGTATGACCCCCAAACAAAATTTGACCCTTTTCCCTCTACATATTCAACTAAAATGATCTATAATTTTCTGTCTGACCGAATAAATTTAGTCTTACATTTTGTCAGTCAGACACAGTTCAGGATACACCGCAGGAGTGACTGTATATGCTTGTTACCACTTTACAGATTCAATTTGGATTTTACTTATAAATAAAGGAATTTTACTTTCCTCTTCCTTAAATTTTATTACTCACCATGTCTCATGGTCCTCAAAATACCCTCCAGTCATAATACGCTTAGCAACATAGTGCTTTGCAAATTTAATGCTGGTGTCTCTCTCGCTTTCTGGTTCTGTAAAAATATTATATTGCGAATTGTACCGTGATTTTTTTTCAAAAGCGTCCTCTTGAAAAGACTGTGGTGGACCATGGCGCTGTATATCCTCAACCTAAAATCAAATCACATCTTAAAAATAATGTGTAGTTTTAAGACAAGTCTGGCAGTATTCCTGAAAAATTTCTGAAGCCACCAACCAGATGCTCTTTCTTTAGAAATTATTGTTATATCAGGCTAAAATAAAATTTTCTTATAGCACCTATAATAAACAGCTGCGCCATGAGCGCCTGATACGCCCGTCATCTTGTGTGTGAATTTTTATGCAATAAGCATAAATAGTTTCTGACATACGGCGTGACATGCGAAAACCCCCCCTTTTTTTTTACAAAAAACTCAATATCTCTAAAATAAAATTTTGAATCAAAACCAAAAAGTATACAGATCTTAAGATTTATATAACTAAGAAGTGTGTAAAATTTTAAGCAATAATCATAAATAGTTTTTGAGATACGGCGCGACATGTGAAAACACCCCTTTTTAAAAAAAAAAAAAATCAATATCTCAAAAATAAAATTTTGAATCAAAACCAAAAAGTATACAGATCTTTAGATAAATATAACTAAGAAGTGTGTAAAATTTTAAGCAATAATCATAAATCATTTTTGAGATACGGCGCGACATGTGAAAAACCCCTCCCCCTTTTCTTACAAAATACTCAATAACTCAAAAATAAAATTTTGAATCATCACCAAAAAGTATACAGATCTTAAGATTATTATAACTAAGAAGTGTGTAAAGTTTTAAGCAATAATCATAAATTGTTTTTGAGATACGGCGCGACATGTGAAAAAAAACACACACCTGTTTTAGTTACTAAGTCCCGTAACTCAAAAAGTTTTAATCTTATTTTCACCAAAAAGTATACAGATCGTTTGACCATCATAAGAAACAACTATGTTAAGTTTCATGAAATTTGGATAAGTCATTCTCAAGTTACGGTGCGACATGTTTACGCCGGACAGACAGACAGACAGACGGACAGACAGACGGACGGACGCCGGACATTTGTATAACATAATACGTTACGTCAAAAATTTGACGGGCGTATAAAAATTATACAAGCCTGGGCTGGTGGGCATGTGGCCAAACTTGAAAACTGAACATGGAATTCAAAGTTTTCAGTGGCTATTTCAGTTATGGAAAATAAGTTGTACTCTTGTAACTACATTTTATAGCTATACATGTAAACATAATATTAGCCTGTCACAGTTTATAAACAATATAAGTACAACTTTGAAATATATCAACTTTTTTGTATTAAGAATTTTTGAAGGGCTTGGATGTTACTTTTATATCTAATTTTTATATCTGATTACACTTAGAAATAGATGTTTTTTTTTCAATAAAAAAAAAATAATATAAAATGTATATGTTTTCTTTTCTATTTTTTTGTGTTGCATGATGACTGTGTCATTGATTTATATACCATATCTCCTTTCATTAATAAATATGTCATATATATAACAGGCCAGTTTGGTCTACAAAAGACTTGTCAGGGACACTTGAATTTTTTTTAAAATAAAAGCATGAAGCATTGAGTACCAAACATTCTGAAAGGATTTTCTAAATACAGCTAAGGTTATCTATTTCTGACCTGGAAAATCCTTATTATTTACAAATTACATATTTTTCAATTAGGATTTCTTTCTTTTCCATATCTGAAACCTACCACATGCAACAGAAGATGTGTTTTAGCCTTTTTCTTCAGTTCAGGTGCATGTTGATGCACAAGCTGATGATATGCTCTGATGTCTTCTCTCAGATCTTGAATATCTGTCCTTGTAAAATTGGCCTGGTTTAAGGTTTTCTGAATCTAAAAAAAACATTATTAAGTATCATGTATATGAATTGTTATCTTTGTGTAAGATCATAAAAGACCTAAATTTAGACTCTTTGAGACAGTTCATACAAATGCCTTGAATACCTCAAATTACTGACAGGTGATAGTCGTTACAATACAAGTCAAGTCTTAAATCATGTTTCCTTCTACTGGATATTTAAGAGAAGATTTTGCCATTCTTATGGAGGAATTATACCTTCTTCAATGGACTTGTGAAAAGTATAGACTTATTAAAGAAATCTTTGTATTGGGTCTGAATTAGACCAGTGGAGCTGTATTTGCTCCACACATTTAGACTGTTATCTTTACTTAACTAAATTAATATTTTGGCTTCATCGTTTATATGTAAATTTATGTAGAATATTTAATAAAGTATGTGAACATCTGTATTTGGTCTCATTTGCCAGAGCTCAGTCCCAGTGGAACAAACCTTTGTCCGGCGTTCAATAGACACGAGGGGACGGTGTCGCATAGCCATCGGACCCTCCTGTTACACTACCCTACATTGATGGTCATTAAATTTATGTGTAAATCGAGTTGAGATGACCAATGATAATCTGCTTATCAATATGTTACCTATGACAACTATGTTAATGTCATTGACAGGCATGTGTGCCCTTAGTTTCTAGAGATAATTTTCATATCACTCTACTGTGCTGAGTAAGAAAATCATCAGTCAGTAAGATCAAAGGTAAATTTCGTAAAATAGCGATAATTCTTAATATTTTATAGGTAAAATAGATAAAAAATTGTTAATCAAGAATTGAAATAAAACCCTTACTCAAAATATCCATATTATTAGCCAAAAAGGATAGAGCAAATACCGATTTCTAAATCCTTTGTTTATAACAGTGCCAAACAGTAAACATGTTAATGTTATTTTTCAATAATTTTCCTTCATACCTTTGCAAGGTAGGACACCATGCGTATATATTTTCCAGCTACTCCTGCATAACTCATGTTGAGAGGTGCAAGCTGTAACTGAAAAACAAAAATTAATTAGCATGAAATTTATCATTGCTTAATTTTACAGTTATGGTAGTAATTTTTTTGTTGTTGACCTATATAATATAAACAAAACTATGCTTTTTTATGTTGGATTTTCCCAAGTCAGGAGCCAATAATTAATTAGTTTTTGGTCTGTCATGTTTTAAGTAAATAGTTGTATTATAAATTACACCCTCAGTTTCCTAATTTGAATTGTTTTACTTTCTCATATCAGGACCTTTATAGCTGATTATACAATATAGGTTTTCTCATTGTTAAAGGCTGTACTGAGGTCTATATAACTTCTACTTCTTTTTAACTCTGTTGGATAGTTGTTTCATTCAGCAACCATAACACATTTCCTCATCTTTACACTAATATTATATTCAGGATCTATTTTTGGAATAACTTACCAATATTCCTGAAAAAATCAACCTCAATTACAAGCTCATTCAAAAAAGATTTAGAAAATTACTTGTTAGAACATAAAGAAGCATAATAAATGCATAATAATTTCCACACACTTACTATATATATATATGTAAGCCTCAAATCTATGTCCAGCCTCAAATCTATGTCTTTTCTGCAAATCTATGTCCTTTTTAATATTGCGTCATAGACGTTCCAAATTTATGTCCTTTATTGTCTCAAATCTATGTCTTTTATTGTCTCAAATCTATGCCCTGTATTGTCTCCAATCTATGTCCTTTATTAACTCAAATTTATGGCCATTTTTGTCTCAAATTTATGTCCTTTATCGAAATTTAGAGACGTAAGACAGTTACAGTGACAGTTAGAATATTTTAGAAAAGAGATGTCAGTGGAAAAAGACTGACTGGCCTTCAAAATTGTCAGAATTTTATTACAACTACAACAACAGGGTACACACATCTATGTGAATGTTGATGTCAAGGTACACAATGGATTTTAAAAAAATACATAGATTCGAAACTTGAATAGTTCCCCAAAACAAAAAAATTGTTTAATAAGATAGTGGCACAAAATGTCGTTGTTAAACACAATAAATTATATCATACACATTTTTTATGTGGTATCTATATATTGAAACATTGAACAAAACGTTTGTAAATAGGTGTATATGTTTAAAGCTTACGATACAGAATAGGTTTAATTCATTGTTGAAGGCCGTACATGTATCTTTAGTTGCTTTTATACAGATGTCATTTTGTCTTAGGTTGTTTATTAACTTATATTTCGTATTTGTTATCAAGACGTAACGAGTAAAGGGAAGTAACGATAATTACTACAGAACAATTAAACACGGGATCAAGAAAAGCAAACAATTTGAAAATGTTGTAGTTTTACAATAAAATGTAAATAATTATCATACAATAATTACACAGGCATGTAAAATTTTTAAGCACACACATGGAGAACACATCCCAACTTAACATTGAATTATGTGAAATGACTTAATAAAACAAAAATTCTATAAGGCCGTACTTATTAGACGGGCATAAATTTGAGCATGGCGAAACAAACTGGAAAAAGATTTAAGAAAAGGACACAGATTTGAGGCCGTATATTTTTTTAACAGGCATAGATTTGCGAATGACGTCAAGATTGAAAACAAATGTGAAAATATGACACAGATTTGAGGCCGTATCTTTTTTAGCGGACATAGATTAGCGATTGACGTCACGATGGGGCACAGATTTGAGAAACAGACACATATTTGAGGCTGTACACAGATCTGAGGTTTACATATATATATCTTTATTCTCAATAAACCATCAATTTGACAAGGTATAGAAAAATAGAACTTAAGATATTGTTGAGGTAATTTGAATATTGCCAATACTATATGAATTTCTAATTTTTATCTGTTTTTAAAATTGTATATTTCATAACAATTTTTTCATTTGATTTTTATATGACCGCAAAAAATTTTACGGCAGTATATTGGTATGACGTTGGCATCGTCGTCGTCGGTTTAATCGTCATCGTCATCGTCTGAAGACACATTGGTTTTCGCACTCTAACTTTAGTTTAAGTGAATGGATCTCTATGAAATTTTACCATAAGGTTCAATACCACAAAAGGAAGGTTGGGATTGATTTTCAGGGTTATGGTACTAACAGTTAAGAAATGAGGGACCAAAGAGGGGCCAAAGAGGGGCCAAAAAATAAACATTTTTGTATCTTCCAGACATAACTTGTGTGTTAGTGTATGGATCTCTCTGACATTGTACCACAAGGTTCGATATCACAAAGAGAATGCTGGGATTGACTTTGGGGGTAATAGCCTCAAAATTTAAGAAGTTAGGTGGCAAAAAAAGGGCAAAAAACACAAAGGTAAAGCTGGGTTTGAGTTTGGAGGTAATTGCCCTAAACGTTTAGGAATTTGAGGCCAAAAAGGATCCAAAAAACAAGCATTTTTCTAGTTTCCAGACAATAACTTGTGTTCAAGTGTATGGATCTCTCTGAAATTGTACTGCAAGGTACCATACCACAAATGGAAGGCTGGGATTGAGGTTTAAAAAAATTTGGGGGGGGGGGGGGTGGATTTTTTTTTCCTTTTTTTCCTTTTTTTTCCTTTAGAATTTTCCATTTTAAATTGGTTATTTCTGATTTATATATAAAAGCAAATAATAATGATATGGTTTGAATAGGTAAATAAATTTTTTTAAGTTCTTAGACCACATTCATTCTGTGTCAGAAACCTATGCTGTGTCAAATATTTAATCACAATCCAAATTCAGTGCTGTATCAAGCTGGAATGTTGTGTCCATACTTGCCCAAACTGTTCAGGGTTTGACCTCTGCGGTCGTATCAAACTGTACCCAGCGGAGCTTTTATTTTCATTTATGTGCGTTTGTTTGATATTTTGTAATTGTTTGTTATATTTCAATTTATTTCATGAGGGCCTCAGGGAAGATTAGTTTCATAACTAACTGTGTAGCCCTCTTTAAATAAAGAATTATTATTATTTTTATTATTATTATTATTATTAAAGCTTTTATTTTCCAGCCCAGTAATATATAAAAATGCAATGCTTATTATGTACCACATCATTTTCTACCAGTTTTAGGTATATGTTTACTGCTTAAATGACATTTGTCATTAAAATAAAAAATAACTTACATATTCTTTAAAGTGCTTTCCTTGTTTGCTATCAATATAATGGAAGAAATTTTGGAATTTGCTTCCTGGTACCATCGACAGCAAATGCAATTGCAGTTTCAGTTTTTGTATACTGTCTAAATCCTGTAGAATTAACTTCACCAGGTGCTTTGCAAGGCCAAGAGGTATCAGATGAAGTAATCCTACAGGTATGTCTCTGTTAAATAGAAAGATAAAATAAATAATACAGGACAATCATTATGATAGGTAGTAAAATTAATTTCAATTACTTTGTCTTTAATCTCTTTCTATACATTTGGGTTGTCCAAAGCAGTTTTCAGGCTTTAACATTATCAAGCAGTTGAACATCCATAAAGGTTTAAATTCAGGAATGTAAAAACACTTGAATACATCGGATATTTGAATACATTGGATATTTAAATACATTGGATATTTATAACCAAGGCAATATTTTATGTCAATACATAGACGACAAATTCTAGGCCCTTCATATTTTTTATAAGATCATTGCAAATTTCTACTTAAATGGTCCAAAAAAATATACCATAACTAGGAGATATCTGTATTGTATAGCTTCCTTAAAACGTGTTTTATTGACTCATACACTGAGTTAACCTAAGTTTTATGTAGGTCAAGCTTAAACAGTACAGTTATAACCATTCTTATGTAAAATTAACAAATATTTCTTTTAACACCAACCATCCGCATCCCCCTCCATGACATTGTTCTGGTCAATAGAACCTTACTTGATTAATTGCTTTACTTTACTTCCAGTATTTAAGTTTAGTCATAATATTTAAATTTCTAACCTCAAAATCCCCTTTGAGTGAAGTTTTAAAGTGTACATAAAGCCTCATAACCTCACAATAAAATATGCATTAATCATACTAACCCCATACTGTATCTAAATTTATTTTTATGTATCATAATTAAACAAACCTATGAGGATCTATTAAATCCCAAAAAACATTTTCGTGCTCTTTCACTCCTTTCTGTTTTCTTAACGCTTTCTTGTCTCTCTCACAGGATCTCAAATTAATTCTTTCGACTGTTCTCTTGGTTTCGTCTGGTGTTCTTGAAGTTCCTAAAGACATGAAATGTTCAGAATCAACCTGTAAAATATTTCAGAACTTTAACGATAGGAAAAATAAGGCGTATCTCATAATTTAATGGTTTCAAAACACTTCTATAAAGATCAATATTTCAGAGTTATTCAAATACAGACTTTTTGAAATGTTATAAGAATAGTGTATATTTATCATGACTATTCATTAGCTCAGACAGACTTATAATGTTACTGTTCATGTAAAAATGCCAGATTCCTATATAGGTTTCTATGAGGGAAACAATTTACTATATCCCATAGTTGAGTGGGAGAGGACTTTATTGAATGTCACCCTCTCGTCCAGACCAATCAAAATTCTATACTTTAAAGGACAATGAATTGAATTAGCATCAAGTAATTAAAAACAATTTTATCATTTGACTGTCAAAATAAAAAAATAAAACATCTTGCTTCACTTCTGTTAATTTTTCTAATACTCGTAACGTTGTTATGTATGTGACGTCATAGAAAATACTTTTAAATAAAATTCATCTGTAAGAAACAATAATGGTAGGACATTCAGTATAAAAAATTAAATAACATAGCTGAGAGGGTGATAGAGCTGACTGGTACCCCTTCACCGCGGTTGACAAGGTTTTCTCGGGGTAACAATCTGCTCTATCACCCTCTCAGCTATGTGTTATTTATGTAATGTCTTTCAGCACAAAAAAAATTAAAATTAAATATGTAATTAAACTCATCACCTACTTAGAGAAGCTATTTTTCTGTAAATTCACATTTTATAAAATATTTATACTGTTACTGCTGTTGCTGTTACAAAATAAATACATTCAATTCATTACTTGTATTCAAAGGTGCAGTTGTGTACAAAAAATAGTCATGGTGATCATAGCTACTTACATTGCATCTTGGGCAGTATTTATTAGCTGCTGCTCCTAAATGGTTGCAACAATAAGACAACATATTGAAGTCTGCAATAACAGAGTTGAGACTTGACTTAATGAAGCATTTTTTCATCTCATTGGCATCATAACCTTCGACTCCATCACTAAAAGTAAAAGGATGAGTTTATTGAAGCATTCAAATCATGAAATTTCGAGTTTCAAAAAATAATCACTTTTTTCATATGTTATATTGAAATCGTCATCAGAATTTATTGCAGCTAAAAATGCAAGAGAAAGCTAGAAATTTCAAGTATTACTACAAAAATAATTATGAAGAAAACTTGTTTATATTAACAAATCTTAACCAAAGAGTAAAACTTTTAACAATTCACCTTAAAAAACAACGTTGATTGAGGCTATTTTTATATATATGTCAATGTTTTAAAATTGTTCATTTCATCTAATGAATATTTTCCTTCTGATGCCAACTAACAAACAAAAGCTTAAATGAAAATTAATCCTTTATTTCCACTAAATACTTAAGAGTTATCTCCACTTAGAAGTCAGGAAATAGAAATGACTTAGCACTTGCTGAACACAAGTTTGCATAGTTCAAGTACAAGTTACTTTGATTGTGATCCATTTGGATCTGGGGGATTTTTTGGTGGTAATGCAGTTGAAAATAGCTTGAAATATCAACCCATAAGTGCCACCTGGAACATGTATATATCATAAACTTAGTTTTCTGTGCACGATTTTATCATTTTTTATGCATCCATATCGTATAATTGTTTATTTTTTTATTCTTCTCTCTGTCTGTTAAGATGAGAAAATATGGCAGCTAATTCATTGTTGAGTTTGAAGCTGTAGTTTACCGATGGTCACCTTATAGTAAGCAATCAACAAAGAAGCATGGATATTGAGCACATGCATAACAGGTACAATAAGGTAATAGTTAATTTCAATGACAGATCAATGTGTATTGCGATCACCAGATTTTTACAAGATAGGTCATGCTGAGTTCACTTTGCACAGGGAAAACAAATTGGCAAATTGTTTGCTGTAACAATTCAAAAAAAGTAAATCTTTTTCAAAATTTGGACAAATCATAGAATTATGTACAGAAGTTTTATAATTAACATGTGATAGAGGTTACGTCAGTGTGGAAAAAAGAATTCCTTATTTCCATATCTAGAAGGAAATTTTGTAAAAAAATAAATCCATTTTTCCGTATTTTACTTTAAATGGACTTAGATTTTCTGCCAGGAAACAACATATTCACTCTGTGGTTAAAGTTTTTAAAATTTTAATAACTTTCTTATACTTTTTTGGATTTGTACCAAACTTGGACAGAAGCTTGTTTATGATCAAATGCTAGTATCTAGTAGGAAATTTTGTTTTCTTCCAGTTAACATTACATTCAGTCTGCAGTTAAAGTTTTTAAACATTTATTATATTCATAAACTATCCTGGATTTTTACCAAACTTGGACAGAAGCTTCTTACAATCAAAAGATAGTATCAAGAGGAATATTTTTATTGATTTACTTCCTCATTTCTGTTGAGCCTGCGATTAACAGAAAAAGTAGGCGAGACACTGGATTCCGCGGAACCTTTACGATTTTTTTTAAGAATTATAAGGATTGAAGGCCTTTTTAAATGAATTTATTGGAGTATAAACTAGACCAAGTCACTCCCAAACATATCACAAAAGTCTTTCCTTTTTATAAGCTGCTGCTCCTAAAGGGTTGCAACAATAAGACAACATATTGAAGTCTGCAATAATGGATTTGGGACTTGATTCAGCTGTTTTCTGCTCTTTTGTTGGGTTGTTGTCTCTTTGACACATTCCCCATTTCCATTATCAATTTTAATTCGGACTTTTAAAAAAAACAATTTTTCCTATAATATTTCTGTCATATAATCAAGGAAAAATTAACATCAAATATAAAAAAGAAGATGTGGTATGATTGCCAATGAGACAACTCTCCCATAGACCAAATGTACACTTTGATTTATTATAAAATTAATAATTAATCACCTTTGAAGATCTTTTATATCATTTAGTATTACTTGTGCAACATCCATTATTTCTACTTTTTCAGATGCACCTAGAAATTGAAGGGCACCTTCTTTTTGTCTTTCCTTGGTTGGTAACCCTGGAAATATATCATTTATAACTCATGAAAAACACTTAATCCTGCTACAGTTACATGTTACAGTTAATTTTTAATGCAATACACTTTCGCTATCGGCTAATTTCTATTTACCTGTGGAAATATAGTTTAACATGTGGTTATCTCAGAACAAATCAAAATCAAATCCGTGAAAATATATGAATTAATAATATCATATATATGTTTAGGACTTTGACATTTTTAGTAACGATTATTCTTAAAAACGTATTGTTAAAATGGCTTCATATGGACATGTGTCTATTATGTACAAAAAAAGGTACCAGTATCACATAGGACCAGGAATTTTTATATTTTTTTTTTTTTGGGGGGGGGGGGGGGAGATAATTATGCCCTGCCGTAGCAGTGGGGGCATTAAGTTTTTTACCCTTGTCCGTCTGTCCGTACGTCCCAAAATTGGTTTCTGTTCTCTAACTTGAATTTGCCTCAACCAAATGTTTGAATTTTGGTGGTGTCAATTTTACCGTTCTAGAGTTATGCCCCTTTACAAATGGAATGCTGAATTTTTCGTTTCCGTTCTCTAACTTTAGTTTGCCTCAACCAAATGTTATGAAACTTATACACAATGCTTATTACCACAAAAAACAGATCAATTTTGAATTTTGGTGGTGTCACTTTAACCGTTCTAGAGTTATGCCCCTTTATAAATGGAAAAATTGCAAAATTTGTATTTTCTTCTAAATATCAAAGTAATTTTTAAAATTGGAGTAATCTTCCTTTGTCCATGATTATAGTTGAATCAACTACAATCAATGCTTTATACAATGCAATGTTTAATTTTGACTTCCACTGATAAAATACAGATCAAGTTGAATTTGGGTAGTGTCACTTTAACCATTTTTGAGTTATATATGCCCCTTTATAAATCGAAAGATTGCAAAATTTTTAGTTTCCATTCAGTAACTTAAGTTTGCCCCAACCAAACATTATGAAACCTATACACAATATTCATTACCACAAAACAATGATCAAGTACAAATTTTTTTCTAACTTTAGTTTGCCTCAACCAAATGTTATGAAATTTATACACAATGCATATTACTACATAATACAGATTAATAACGAAATTTGGTGGCGACCCTTTTACCATTCTTGAGTTATGTCCCTTTATGAACATAAAAATTGCTGAATTTGTTAGTTTGTCTCAACCAAATGTTAAAATACTTATACACAACCGTTCTAGAGTTATGCGTGTTTACAAATAGAAAAACTGCTGAATTTTTAGTTTCTGTTCTCAACTAAGTTAGCCTCAACCAAATGTTATGAGACTTACACACAATGCTTATTACCACAAAATTCAGATCAAGTTCGAATTCGGGTAGAGTCACTTTTACCTTTCTTCAGTTATGTCCCTTTATAACTATATGATATGCCAGCGGGGGCATCATCTGTGTCCACATGTGGACACTATCCACATTTATTTTTATATAATTTGCAAAAATTAGAATGGAAAAATTTAGGTAGACATAATAACTTGCATTTAAAATTTTACACTTGAGGTACAGAATTTTTTTGGAAATATTATACCTGCTATTTGCATTTGAATACAGTGCAGTGCCATCCACTGTCTGCTCTTGTGTGTTGCAGTGTCATCCAAAAAAAGATTAATAGGAATGTGAACAACAGGTAAATCATCCACTCTATCATTATTGAAGTTGATATCAGTTTTCCACTTTTCTGCTTGAGCAGGATGTCCTATAACTTCACAATTAGCAAGTGGCTTTCTGTAATTCATTAACATAGGAATAACAAAACAGCAGTTGTTCACAGCTACTTTAGTACAAGTAATCTTGATGTACAGTTCTAAAGATGCATATCAAATGCACATCTGTATAGCTGTATATAAACTGTACATCTGTAAAGCTGTATATCAACTGTACAGCTGTATATAAACTGTACATCTGTAAAGCTGTATATAAACTGTACATCTGTAAAATCGTATATAAACTGTACATCTGTAAACTGTATATAAACTGTACATCTGTAAAACTGTATATAAACTGCACATCTGTAAAACTGTATATAAAATGCGGATAGATATAGTATAACACAAGATGCAGTGGTAGAATCTATATGATAAGCTTATACACAGATTTAAAATGTGCAGTTGATGTACATTTTTACAGAGTTACAGTTTATATACAGCTTTAAAAATGTACAGTTTATATACAGTTTAACAGATAAACAGTTTATATACAGCTTTAAACTACAGATGTACATTTGATATGCATATTTAGAACTGTACATCAAGATTAATTGTACTAAAGTAGCTTATTTATGGAAATTTACATTTGTATGATGATCGATATATTGAAAATGTGGTCATGCCATGAAAAATCTTGGTAATTAATTCTTTTTTTCTATGTTACTATGTTTCCTTTGTTTTAGTAATGCATCAGAATATTGGAATAACAGTACTCTTGTAAATGTGTCAAGGCAGCCATCAATTTGATCGGACTGTAAAACTGTTAGTCATATCCCAAATTAATGGTGGTAACTCAATAGCGTAACAATACATATACTAATACTAGTAGATGAAAATTGTATGTCTTAAAATATTTTCAGACAATTGAACCATGATTTTTCCAACTCAAAATATAAATGATATTACTTAATCAAAATTGCTGTTTCAAATGAATTGCTTTTGAAGTATTAACTTATCTGTATGAACTTATTGTACACATATCAATTACCTTATGTTAAACCATTGTAGTGACGTCAGCCTATTCATTTACCGTGGATTCTTTTTCTAGAATCAACGCTTCCTTAATCTGCCGCTGAAATTGACTCACCAAATTATATTCAATTGTTTCCTTTGTGTGCCTAATTTCATTAAGTTTGAATTGGCTAATTTACTGATTTCTGTTCACTAATGGAATTAATTTAAAAACTTACCTTTAATTTTTGTAATTTTTATATGCCTTCACTGGGAATCGAACCCTTCCTTGAAATCTGTTATGTGTGACTGACATCAACACACTGACGAAACCTCTCGGCTACCAATGGGTTACACTATAGATGTTTATTTTATATATTTAAATGAACATCTGATATACATCGGTTCATAGGACACACAGGGCTTGTACCTTTATATAGACACAATAGGCAGTCGTATAGTATGAGTTGGTAGCCGCGAGGTTAGCATGGTTAAAATCAATGCGTTAAAGATCGGGATTTGTCGGTTTAGGTTCGAATCCCTGTATTCTCTCTGTTGTTCCAATTCTTAAGCTATCCTTGTTTTTTCTAATTTTGCAAGTTATAGCGGATATTTTTGTAATAATAGCGAGTTTTACCGTTTTTTTATATATTATTATCGGCTATTTCACATGTTTGAAACAAAAATGATTACATTCTATTTGTCAATTTTTGTTTTATAAATATAGTATGATTTCATCTGTTTTACTACATAATTTTACAAAGGTTTGTTCGCAAATTCCTATGCGAGAAAATCGTGATGTGCCTAGAGTGTTAGAAAAGTTTCGATAACATACTTATTATATATACTTTATATATGCTTTTTGGTCGGGTTGTTGTTTCTTTGACACGTTCCCCATTTCCATTTTCAATTTTATTAGAAATAATTTCCAATATGTCTTATTTTGTATAAACAGATAATATTCATATGCCTGGTAATATAAAGATCTTTAAAGGTAGAAGTGTTATATTTGTATTTTGTTAACCAATTAATTGTGATCTGAGATTTATCAATGCATCGTTGGACACGATAACATGGTTATTTAAACTCACTTACAATACCTTCTAATTAAGAAAAGGCTTTAATTTTGAAAGAAATTAACACAATAGTTTAAGTTATAGATACAATGGATAAGCGTAGATTCATGAAAAATAAACCATGAGCCCGGAGGGCGAATGGTTTCATTTTCAAGAATCCACGCTTATCCATTGTATCTATATAACATAGATTTAGAAGTATCTGGGTGTGAAATCATCATCTTCAAAATTGCAGATGGTTTTAGAGTCCACAATGGAATTTTATCTGAGTTCTGTCCCTTTAAGAATTATAATAGTAATTATATCATTCAATATACAGTACATTATTCTATTCAAGAACATTAATACAGCACCATTGCTGACAATTGCATATACTACAGGTCTTTAGAGAAGATTAGCACTTTTCCAGCAGATAAAATGAGCTATACTGAAAGTGCTCTGAATCATTGATAGTCACCCCGAGTCCCTTAATTTGCACAATAATTGCAATTTACATCTTAACCAAATAATATTCCCTGATACATGTTTCGCTGTTTACATTTTTCTTGATGAAAAATCCTGGAATTAATTTAATTTTTTTATCAAATATTTGCTGAGTTAATAAAAAAATCATTACAATTTTAGGCATTAATGATGAGGGTTATGAGAAGTTCTGTTGGTCTTGACTTATATAACATATATTTTCTTCAAATTACAATAAACTAAAAGTGCAAATTAATGAGTTATTTCCCCTTATGGACAGTGTTTTTGAATAGATTTATAAGTGAAGCTCATTGCAGAGAGATAAAGATTCCACAACTGCAACAAGTGTGTTACGATATTACTCCACTCAAGACAGTTAAATTTTAATATTTAAAGTGTGAGGCTTGCTAAGCTTTTTAAATAGTTAAAATTTAACTGTTGAGAGCGGAGAAATATCGTAATACACGAGTTATAGTGGTAGAAACTGTTTCTCTAATGATTTTTATCCTTCCTTTTCAAAGATTTTAAGAAAGTTGTGTTTCATTTTATATGACGTCATCAGGTATGGTTGCCTTTTTTCATGACGTCACAATAGTGAAATCCAAAAGAAACCAAAAAAATTTAATGTCACAATTGAACTTCGACCAATCAATTGCTGAGAACAGATTTTTCACTAGTGAGGAGAAATATCTTTCTGACACCAATCAAGAAATGTGAAAATAGCACAAAAATTAGAGAAGAAAATATCCAAACAACATCTTAACAAATTGAATATAAATTCTATAAATAAGATACTTAGTACACATTTTGAAATCTTTACTGCAAATGGTCTTCCTGATATCATACTTACCTTTGTAATTAGTTCTTCCCATGAAAAACTTCCAAACTTCTTTTCTTTCAGTTTGTAAAACAATGGACTATCAGGAACATTTAATTCTTTCATCATGTACAGCACAAATTTAACAACTTCATCACTCTGAAAAAAGGTATAGCAACCATATTCCCCACAAACAATGTTAACTTTTCTGACATTGGACTCAGAATTCTTTTAAACTGAGTTTTACTCTGCATATTGCTATGTGTTACTTTTTTCTACATTGACTAGAGGTATAAGGGGAGGTTTGAGATCTCACAAAACATGTTTAACCCCGCCACATTTTTGCGCCTGTCCCAAGTCAGGAGCCTCTGGCTTTTGTTAGTCTTGTATGTTTTTTAATTTTAGTTCATTTATATGTTTTGGAGTTTAGTGTGACATCCATTTTCACTGAACTAGCACACAATTTCATTTAGGGGCCAGCTGAGGACCACCTCCAGGTACAGGATTTTCTCACTGTATTGAAGACCCATTGGTGGCCTTCGGCTGTTGTCTGCTCTTTGGTCGGGTTGTTGTCTCTTTGACATATTTCCCATTTCCATTCTCAATTTTATTATATTGATTTAACTATTTTTACAGATTTGACTATTACATTGGTGATGTAAACATGTATTTTCAAAGATTTTTTTTTATGGCGTCATAAAATAATACAATGATTTGAATAATTTCAAATCTTCATATTCAAATTTAGAATTCCTGGTTTCTTTCTTATTCAAGGAGGTTCAAGGGGGGGTCTTAATTAAAATCCATAGATTTTATTTAATAATTAGTCAAAATTAAGTCTTAAATATCATGCTTTTTTCAAAAATATAATAAAAAAGTATTTTCACGATACAGGTTAAACACAAAACTGTAAGATTTTTGACAGATTATGCATGGAAAACCAAATTTTGTGTTATAAAAAGAAAACTAAACCATAGAATTTTAAGATAAAATATGAGAAGATAGCTACATGTATTATAACATGCTATCTGACGGAAAAAAAAATGGTCAGTTGACTTGTTTTCATGCTACATATTAAAATAGGTAAATTCACAACTGTTTCTATTAAAAAATAACTTTATCTGAGTTATATCCCCTACTATCTGAATTATCTCCCCTTATTTGGCAAAGTTGAAACAAAATGAATAAAAAAAAAATTACTCACTACTCTTAAAATTTGCACATTTCATTAAAGATTTAGACCAATTGTTATCTGCCCTTCAAAATCCAAACTGAAGAAAGACACCCTAGCCACCTTAAATCATTGTATTCAGAACAGTTTGATAAGTTTCTGCATGAAAAAAATAACATAAATTGTCTTGAAATATACTTTTTATTCAGCAAGAATCAGGATAGAAATGCTCAAACAGCCTTGCATTTCACCTTTCCCAATTTTGAATCAATTTTATATCATGTCACCAATGTAAAAAGGCAACTCAGACTAATTCTTGGAACTCAACTGATTGAAATTAAACAACATATACGGGTCATTCAAAAAAAATGTCCGAGTAACACATTTCAAATGATTTTTTCCTATTTTCTGATCGCCTTGATATCTGCAAAAGGGACTTTTTTTAGAAAGAAAATAATAACTCTAATGAAAAATCGTACCTTCTTTATTATTATAAGTAACATTTTTTCTACAAACTAAATTAAATCAGCGTACATGAAGTCCATGTCCAGCCTGTTACTGCTACTTAAATCAGCTGTTAAATTTTTCTCTCTATGAATATTGAACTAGTCAGTGTTGATTTCAAAAAGGCAAAGTAACCTAAACATTTAGTGAAAAAAAATAGTGGGTACTTTTTTGTCATGTCTATGCTGTTACCAACATATTGATTAATTACACCAAATATTATACTTGCAATAGTGCAATAACGTGTTGGAAACCAAAATCACAACATAAAAACATTATCACTTCATCAAAGGGAGTAGTTATTTCACAACAGCATTCAAAAATGAAGAAATTTGTCTATCCTGTTATGTCTATCCTGTACAAAATGGAAAATTGTCAAATAATATATTATTTCACAGAATGAATATATATACTTGAAGTTTTTACTCTTAAGAATCATCTTATTGGCTACGAAAAACCAGCTTAAAATTTTATCGCAACCTTTTCTAAATAACCCTAAATTTCTTTTGAACATGGTAACAGGAGAGACAAAATATTGCACCACCTATCAAAAAATGTTTCAATATATTCTTGTATGACATTATCAAGATTGCATCTTTTTATATGTTGTTCTATAAGTACTGTTTGTTTTGATTTGCTTATGACGAGGGTTGTTTGAATAGGTAACTTTAAATCAATTTTGCAATTTCAAAATTCGACATTTTTTTAAAATGACCCATACATGTACATATACTAACAATAGGCCTAGGATGAGTTGTGGAATTCATGAAAATGTATATCAATAATTCTGTCTTTGACTGATAAAGATACCAATCAAAGTCTTTTGACTGCTCATCATTTGAAGCTGAAATGTTAAAAATCATGTGTGTACTTTAGTAGCTATCTTTTTTATTACAACACTCATTATAAGAAAAAACAAGTTATGAAAAATGTTCTGTTGTGTAATATGGTATAATGGACGTGACATTACTATGTAGACAGTACGGTAGTTAGAAATACCGCGTAGCCCGGTTCCCGGAATAATCCATGGTAAACTACCTAACTCAGGATAAGATCTCGAATAGTTACCAGGTAACGAGAGTTGGCGTATTGGCGGGAATAAGGACGCAACGAATAACATATTACCAGAGCGTATCATAGGATATTTGGTAAGTTAGTACAATTAGAGGCGTTGAATTGTATTAGAAGTATTAGTATTGAGTGATAATACTCGGAAATCACATCACTGGTGCTTGGCGAGCAGGGTTTCCTGTGTTAAAAAGACGAATTTATCGAGACACAGAAGTGAGTACGTCACGTGTAATTGCGAAGTTCATATTGCTATATTTGGTATATTATGAAGTGTTTGAACACGGAGATAATATAAGCATAAAAACTTGCGTTAATTACAGTGTTTACAAATTTATTTTCGATAATTGTTTTACGTTTTGCTAAAATTAGCCGTTTTGTGTAGAAATTAGACGAATTAGCCGTTATCAGAGCAATTTGGAGAAAATTAGCCGTTTTTTTGAGAGAGACATATGGTAATATTCAGTTTGAGCATCTTTCTGAAATACCAAGACTACGACTTACTGAAACTTTGATGGATTTGATAGATTTTACACCAGTTACACAGCTACAAGAATACAAATCACGGACTCAGTCAAGTTATGATTTACACGACTATGTTGATTATGGTGAAGTTAAGGGCATACGATACAGTAGAGATCCCTCGTTGATTTTTTCTTGAAATTTTGGTAGAAGGTCAATTTCGATGTGTACTTTTGAAATATGCAAAGAAAAATATACCTTTATGACTTACTTTTTGAGATAATTTGGTTCGGAATTTGCATATTTGAAGGAAAAACCCTGAAATTTCATAAATAAGGACTTTTAAGGAAAGTACCAATACTTTTGAACGAACAGTCATAATTTAACCGGTTTTTTTGTAAAATGTTCCCTTGATCCATGGCATCAGCATGCTGTAACAAGTTAACGGTTGAAATAAATAAGTATATCCTAAATTCTTTTATTACAAGTGAAATAAAGAAGTTGAAAATATTTTTACGTCTACACAGAAGTGCAGAAAACATTCTATCGTTGATTTTTTCTTAAAATTTTGGCGGAGCGTTCTTGAAACAGAACTTGATCGATTGCAAAAGAAAAAACTGGGGGTCCATGTGCTTGTTTTTTCAATAAAAGCAATAAACCTTAATTTTTATTGGAAAACGGGACGTTTGCCAATAAGGCGCCAAACTACGTTGGGATAAGTTTTATTCGCAACAACGTCGTGAAATCTTTCCCGCCGTTCACTATACTACGTTGTCAATTTCAGTGGTAGAGCCAAGGTGTTTTTTTTAAACCAATGATATTAATCATGAAAATTAATAAAGCTGGCTCCTCGTAAAATAGCATCATATTTGCCAAACCTTTATGAATTGTTTTGAAACTCGGATAGAAAAAGTATTCTAGTAAATTACTTTTAGAAAAGAAATGTTCGGAAACAAAACAGATATAAATAATAGAAAAATTCATTAACATCTCTGTCCGACATTAGTCATACAATTCATGTAGACAACACAGCTTGAACATAGTTTTAATTATTCAAAAGGCCCCGACATGATAAAATGTGCAACAATTATAAAGTAAGGGGGATGATATTAAAATAAGGACATTTGGTATGATTGCAAACTATCAACCATAGTTCAAATGACGAAGATAAACGCTATTAAAGGTCACCCTACGGCCTTCAACACAAAAAAAAAAAAGAAAAAGAAAAAGCCACACCGTATAGTCAGCTTTAAAAAGCCCCGACATGAAAATGTGAAATAATTCAAACTAGAAAACTAACGACCAATCTATAGGCATTACATGAACACAAAATCATACCCACATTAAATCGGGTCAGCTTAGTCAATTACAATGTAGTATAACATTTCATACAGCAGTCGATATTAGAGCATGAAATTTAATGATTCTGTATCAATAGATAAGTTACCTAAGCTTGTCTTCAGGGTATTTTTTTTTATTACGGTACATATAATCATTGAATTACTTGTCTGTATTATACCTTCAATCTAGGAGTGAGTGCAACCACATTGTTTGTCCGGTCCAACAAATATTTTGTTTCTTATCTGAGAAACTACTTTATAAAAAGACTTCGTATTTGGTCAGTAACTTAACATCAATGAGTTGCAACTCTGGTCTGCCAAATTCCTGTGTGCCGATTTTTCTCTCTCAATATGTACAAAGAGGATATGCTTAGCACATCAACGGGTGCGTTTTTGTTTTTGGTCTACAATACGGGGCTTATAACTGAGTCATTTTAACTGACAATTCTTCTTCATACACTTATATATTCCACAGGTTAAATTCTAAAAATGCCGTTAAACTCTTTAATGTACCTTTTCAAAGTCAGGAACAGTAAGATGCGTTGTCATTATTTATTACGTTTTTTTTGTCATTTTGTTGA